TCCATAGACAACAATGTACAGGTCTGACACTACAATTAAACTCTCCATAGACAACTATGTACAGGTCTCACACTACAATTAAACTCTCCATATATAGACAAGATTGAACAGGTCTCACACTACAATTAAACTCTCCATAGACAACAATGTACAGGTCTCACACTACAATTAAACTCTCCATAGACAACTATGTACAGGTCTCACACTACAATTAAACTCTCCATATATAGACAAGATTGAACAGGTCTCACACTACAATTAAACTCTCCATAGACAACAATGTACAGGTCTCACACTACAATTAAACTCTCCATAGACAACAATGTACAGGTCTCACACTACAATTAAACTCTCCATAGACAACAATGTACAGGTCTCACACTACAATTAAACTCTCCGTAGACAACAATGTACTGATCTCACACTACAATTAAACTCTCCATAGACAACAATGTACAGGTTTCACACTTCAATTAAATGCTCCATAGACAACAATGTACTAGTCTTACACTAAAATTAAACTCTCCATAGACAACAATGTACAGGTCTCACACTACAATTAAACTCTCCATAAACAACAATGTACAGGTCTCACACTACAATTAAATGCTCCATAGACAACAATGTACTGGTCTTACACTACAATTAAACTCTCCATAGACAAAAATGTACAGGTCTCACACTACAATTAAACTCTCCATAAACAACAATGTACAGGTCTCACCCTACAATTACACTCTCCATAGACAACAATGTACAGGTCTTGCACTACAATTAAACTCTCCATAGACAAAAATGTACAGGTCTCACACTACAATTAAACTCTCCATAAACAACAATGTACAGGTCTCACCCTACAATTACACTCTCCATAGACAACAATGTACAGGTCTTGCACTACAATTAAACTCCCCATGAGCAACATTGTACAGGTCTTACACTACAATTAAACTCTCCATAGACAACAATGTACAGGTCTGCCACTATAATTAAATTCCCTGTAAGCAGCAATTTAGAAACTTGAACAGCAATGCTATTTTATAAGAACCCAAAAAATAAAATGAGTGATTTTAAAATCAATCAAACAGATGTCAGAATCCCAAAAATAAATTTGATTCACTGGTATTGCATTTACGATTCTTTGCCTTGATACAATTCTTACTGTGGTGTGAAACCAAAATCAAATGTGTGATTCTGTTCAGAAAATACAATCTAACATTAATAATTAAAATAGCATATTTGTTGGAAGTTAATTTGCTTATATCAAAACAGTTCACAGTTTTTCGTTCCAATAAACTAGAAGTGAAGAGATACACTTCTAGGATATGCACAGTATTTTAATTTTTTTGCTACAGTGGGTGCACTATTTTCATTAGAAAAAAAAGATGCTCCTCTAGTTTAATAATTTAAGGACACTGACTTTATTTTCAGGTCTTAGTGGAAGATTTGAATAATGATGGAAAGCTGGAGATAGTCGTAACTGACAGCAGTGTGAATGTGATGTGCTTGGATAGTAATGGCGATTTGTTGTGGGATGCCTCATTGCCTGGAGTGTCAACAGCTGGGTCAAGGGTTGCAGACATTAATGACGACCAAATACTAGATGTTGTCATAGCAACAAACATTGGGTAAGATTATTGTCCATGATTAGAACATGACTCTGATGGAATTATTATATACCTGGGGTCCAATTGTAAATAATGTCCATTCAATATCAATACTGCTATTCATTTTAAGATATCTCTGACATATGCCTTTATCAATCACTTTCAAACTTCACACATCAAGTTTAGATTCAATATGACTGACTTTTGCACAACAGGAATTAGTGTCATGTCACTGACTTGTTTCTATTTTATATGGCAGATATGTTGTTGCTTTCAGAGGAGACACTGGAGAAGTTTTGCCAAACTGGCCCAAGACACTTGGAAATAAAGTTCTCAGCAATGTTTTAATATCAAGAATTAAAAATAAGGAGGGTCCTCTGGACATTGTAAGTTAAGACCAGATTGAAAGTCAATGCTATATTTGTGTGAAGAAATTAAATACCAGTTTTCACTGGTATTTAATTACTTGATTGTGATATTTGAGCATTTCACAAATTTACCAGTGAGTTCTCTTGTAATCTTACATGTTTGCATGGTTTTAATTTATGAGTGACGATGAATGCAACCATAAATGTGGCTCTGAACACACTTTTTAGAAAACAGAGACCAATGCTTCTCTACCACATTGCATTTAGATGTTCTACAATGTGCTATAATTTGCATTCAATTGCAGTTAGTACCTACGTATGATGGCAGTCTACATGTCATATCAGGTGATGGTAGATGTTCTGATGTTGTTTGGCTTGGTGAACAATCATTAGTGCAGTTATTGGCCGCTGATTTACACAAAGAAACGCCAGCATTAGAGTTGTTAGTTTCCACAATGGACGGCACATTGATGTGTCTACATACATCAACCAATAAATCAATGACTGATCTTGCAACTGTTACTAGTACGCTTCATGAATGGACGGCTGAAACAAACACACATAATAGCTTTACATTCTGGGATTCAAAGGTAGGTTTTAACAATTCCTAGCATGATGTAAATATCATGCATGCAAGAATAATGTATACATGTACTAGCACTAGCTTTGCCACCTTTTATCAAATAAAGCTGATTTATTTTTTCCATAATGTTTCAACCATTTTGATTAAGATCTTAAATTTTGGCAAAAATACTGAAGGCACTCAGGATTATTTATTTTATATATTATATAAGTAATAGTGTTTTGTTATATTCCCCAGGTAGGTGTTGAAATATCTGAGTCTACCAGGCAGTTGGTCCATGTCACCGGTATGTCATTTGTTATTGAGTTTACAATATTAGATGAACACAAAGCTAAAACTGCATGGAATTATTATCATATTAAGGTAAAGTAGTAACTATGTGTAAATATATGCTCAAGTTTATTTTTACCTTGCTAAACACACAGATAATGGGTCCCAATCATATTATAAGGATCAGATATTGGAGAATAAACTAAATAATGAATTGAATTGTAGGACATGTGTTGACAAATTCCATGTTAATTTCTGTTATGATTTACTAAATGTCAATAGCAAATGCAGCAACATCGTTAGCAGAATGTAAACTGGTAGATTACCATTATTATCATTGATACAGTATAGAGCAATCAACTACCAGGTACTACATGTGGACCTCTCTCAGATTTCAGGGCTGGAGCCCTTTTGTTATCACTGGAGTTAATGGCAGAACAGAATGTTTTCAAACTTGCTGTGCTGATTGGTGGTGATGTGAACATGTGCACTGAACTTTCTAAATTGTTATTGGTTATTTGTCATTTCCGTTATAGAGGGTCATTCGACCAGAGGGGGGGGGGGGTAATCACCTTTTTCTGAGGGTCTAGGGCTTTTTTACTGTATATAGTACTGCCTAAGTGCAATAAATATTGCCTATAAAACTTTAGCGGTCACATGACTTTTTCTGTTATGTCCATTTGAAAAAAATGGTGACTAAGCATTTTTTTTTTCTTTAAAGTCTTCTTCTCTTGAACACATGGCCGGTCACATGAAACTTTAATAGTATATAGCTTCCACTAAGCTATATCTACTAGTTGGAAAAAAAT